GGGATCGTGTCTAAGGACCAGGAGGGGAAGCTCATGTGCAAACCCATCTTCTCAAAGATCGTTTCCCTGTTCGCCGAACACAACGACCTGCAGTACGCCGCGCCGGGAGGCCTCATCGGTGAGGCCGCGATCGCCATGGCAACCGCCGCCGACATTAGGCGATGTAGTTGATGATGAAAATTCGTTGACGGATATTTTTTGTCAGCCTGTTTAATTTGTTTTTTTTTTATCTGAGCAAACGGCTGATCTGAGGTCAGGTAGTTCCCCTCCTCACCACTAGGTGTGCTGTGGCAGATCAGCTCCCTTTTCCCCTGCTGTCACTTCTGTTATATATATAAATATATGGTTTTGAGCCTGATACGAAAATGTTAGCGGCCAGTGAGTCTGAATCAGGAGAGAGACGTCTACTAGAAGACCTGAAGGATCCAAAGTATGGGAAACCTTTAGGGAGCTGGTCATAGAGTGGTTTGTACTCTGTAAAACTTTGTTGGCATATCACACAACTGCCACAGGAGTTATTCAAAGGAGTTATTATTTTTTTAAAATAGAAGAAATTCCCACATTTTATTGCACATAACTTACTAAATTTAATAATTTATTAATTTAGTTTTATTTATTCAATATTTAGTTTGTTAAATTTCCTTTTGACACACAGGTGACATTTTATGTTTTCGCCCTTGAGTTGATGAGCTCAAATAAAATAGCAATCTTTATATTTTTTATTTATTTTTGGCCACCGGTGGCAGAATTTTCAGCTTTTTGAGCTGCTGGATGTCGATATTTGTTTGAGAATTTTTTTTTTCTGCTGCATCATGTTAATCCCATCTGCTCAGATTATTCAGATGTGATACCCATTTTTTTATTTATTTATTTATTTACGTTGTTTATGATCATTAATACGGCATTAGCCTTGAATTGCTAGCTGCCGCTAACGGCTAATAATAACACGCCAACATTAATCAAGTCCGTCTGGCTGCAGACTGCAGGAAGCCAAGGATGGATATCCAACTCTGCCCACATCCAAGTCGGCCATTTTGATTAGGTCACCAATAGGAAAATCCCAGGCAAGAAAATCCTAATTGCTTCATGGCAACATAGACATTGATTTAAAAATAGTTAAATTAATCTTGCAAACACTGAATTAAACTCTATCCATAATATTATGTTAAAATAGTGGATGTTAAATAGGTTTGTACAATAAGTCCAAACAAGTTTAACCAAAAAATATTTATTTCTCACAATTATGAAGGGTGGAGGGTTAGGGTCAGGGTTAGGGTTAGGTTAGTATTAGGGTTAGGGTTAGGGTCAGGGTTAGGGTCAGGGTCAGGGTCAGGGTTAGGGTCAGAGTTAGGGTTAGGGTCAGGGTTAGGGTCAGGTTTAGGGTCAGGGTTAGGTTTAGGGTCACGGTTAGGTTTAAGGTTAGGGTTAGGTTCAAGTTTAGGGTCAGGGTTAGGATTAGGTTTATGGTCAGGGTTAGGTTTATGGTCAGGTTTAGGGTTAGGGTCAAGGTTAGGTTTAGGGTCAAGGTTTGTTTTAAGGTTAGGGTTAGGTTCAAGTTTAGGGTCAGGGTTAGGATTAGGTTTAGGGTCAAGGTTAGGTTTAAGTTTAGGGTTAGGTTCAAGTTTAGGGTCAGGGTCAGGGTTAGGGTTAGGGTTAGGATTAGGGTCATTAATGTGGGCCACCATAACATCAGTAACAGGTCAGTTTGAAACCAAAGACACTAACCTGTCAAAATTCAGTTACATTTTGGGGTTAGGGTTAGGGTTAGCATCGATATTAAATATTTTCCCGAGTATCGGTATGGAGTTGAACATTTCGTTACCGTGACGACCCTTTTGTGCAGGCGTGGCTCCAGATGTGAGTCAGGAGGAGGGTTAGGGTCAGGGTTAGGTTTAGGGTCAAGGTTAGGTTTAAGGTTAGGGTTAGGTTCAAGTTTAGGGTCAGGGTTAGGATTAGGTTTATGGTCAGGGTTAGGTTTATGGTCAGGTTTAGGGTTAGGGTCAAGGTTAGGTTTAGGGTCAAGGTTTGTTTTAAGGTTAGGGTTAGGTTCAAGTTTAGGGTCAGGGTTAGGGTCATTAATGTGGGCCACTATAACATCAGTAACACTAACCTGTCAAAATTCAATTACATTTTGGGGTTAGGGTTAGGGTTAGCATCGATATTAATTAAATATTTTCCTGAGTATCGGTATGGAGTTGAACATTTCGTTACCGTGACGACCCTTTTTGTGCAGGCGTGGGCACCAAAATCGACCCGACTTTGTGCCGGGCGGACCGCATGGTGGGGCAGGTGCTGGGCGCGGTCGGGGCGCTGCCCGACATCTTCACCGAGCTGGAGATCTCCTACTTCCTGCTGCGCCGGCTGCTGGGGGTCCGCACGGAGGGGGACAAGAAGGCCGCCAAGGTGAGGAGTGCATCATGGGAAATGTAGTTCCATAGTTAGCCCTATGCCGTGGGAAATGTAGCTCTTAGGTAAGCCTTACACCATTGGAAATGTAATTCTTAGGTGAGTCCGGCACCATGGGAAATGGGTATTGTAGTCCCAGGATGAGGCATGCACCATGGGAAATGTAGTTCTTAGGTTAGCCCTACACCTTGGGAAATGTAGTCCCAAAGTTAGCCCTACACCTTGGGAAATGTAGCTCTTAGGTAAGCCTTACACCATTGGAAATGTAGTTCTTAGGTGAGTCCGGCACCATGGGAAATGGGTATTGTAGTCCCAGGATGAGGCATGCACCATGGGAAATGGGTATTGTAGTCCCAGGATGAGGCATGCACCATGGGAAATGTAGTCCTAAGGTTAGCCCTGCACCATGGGGAATGTAGTCCCAAAGTTGGCCCTACACCATGGGAAATATAGTCCCAATGTCAGTCATGCACCATGGGAAATATAGTTCTTAGGTTAGCCCTGCACCATGGGGAATGTAGTCCCAAAGTTAGCCCTACACCTTGGGAAATGTAGTTCCAAAGTTAGCCCTAAACCATTGGAAATGTAGTTCTTAGGTGAGTCCTGCACCATGGGGAATGTTGTCCCAAAGTTAGCCTGGCACCATGGGAAATGTAGTTCTTAGGTGAGT